GCCATGGCAGTGGTGGTAGAGAGTTGGTGATTTAGAACTCACAAATCTGACTTGAAAAAAGGCTATGGTATCCCAGACTTCCCTATTTCTATCAAAGCGGCCCTTATCTAGAAATTCAGATTATGACATCTGAATACTGCATTTACTGGAAAACAAATGATCATTTATATAATATTTATCTATATCATGTATATATCATTGCAAAGTAGAGTGGCTGGCTTACAGCAGTTAGGGATAAAGTAGACTCAGGCAATTTCCTCATGCATGCAGTTAAAATTTTTTAAATGACCTTTGATTCAATTCAATCGAAGAGACACTTACAGGGAGTTGATTATATGCAAGGAATCATCTTCATATAACTTTATATCTGATGTCAAATATGGAATAGCAACACATCTAACGTCTTCAAATATGGGATGGCTGATCAAACAATGAATTAATTTAATTTATGTCTTGACTGGACAAAATAAGGCTTTTGACAACCTTTTCTGCCAGAAGTCACAAATCTCTTCAGCAATACATTTTCATAAAAACAGTGAGTCAACTATGGTCAGAAGTATAAAGAATCTTCAAACATCATAAAACGTTACAGATATTACAGTTGCCTCTCTGTTGGGTAACTTATTTTGTGATTTACAATGGATGAAGGGATGACTTGTGACTTTTCGCTCTAAGAACCAAATTTAAATTTATGACATTTCTTGCAGTTAATCTATATGACCTGCTTTTTAAGACAGACATAGATTCATTTAACCAAACGTTATAGTTAGAATATTTGTGAAAGGGGTTTACTCTTGAATTTATAGATACAAACTGAAGTGTTTTATAATTCAGTTGAGAGCTTTTTAAGGGAAGACATTTTTAAATAAAATATTTCTTAAAATTGGATTTATTATACTCATCAAGTAAATGATATTGTCTTAACAGCAACAAATAGAGTTGTTTTAAAATCAGATCAAACGATATAGTAAGCAAATATCACATTTGCAATTTTTTTCTTTTTCACATCTTCCTCTGCTTTTAGGTTTGAACATCCTTGGGAAACATCTAACGCTTAAATTTTTAAATACTTTATTCTATAGAAGGGTATTAAAAATAGTTTACAAAGCGTCTATTTTCCATTATTCCTCAAATTTGCATTTCTTGATTTTTTTTTTACTCTCTACAAAGCTTTAACAGATAAAGTATCTCAGCAGAAGACCTAATTGGAAATAAATGAGCTCATAGTTATATCTGTTATTGCCTTCATACCTTCTTTAGCTGCCAGAATGTTCTATAAATGGCCACTGATAACTAGTTTAGTGGGCTTGCCTCATCACACAGTACATAAATCACTACTGATTTAACTAAGTCATTTGGGCTTTGAATTCAGGACTCAGTACACACACACACACACACACACACACAAAATTATGTTTTGTGGAATTTGAGAACAGTGTTTAATAACATGCTGGTATAGCGTGGGTAGTTTTTAAAGTGGGTTTTGGTTTTGTCCTTCACATTAGCAGTGTGAAATTTCTATGTATTTTTTCACATCTAAAAATACGAGGAGAAAGCAGTATTTCTGAGGATGGTTAAGTAATTTAACAGATGAGTTATAATCTATTTGTTTTAACTGAAATAACAAGTACATCAGTTGAAGGGTAAATGAATATCCTCTTGTTTTCTGAAACTTATCTGTATCATCAAGCGTAACTTTGGACTAGTAAGGAAACAATTGCTTTCTCTGCATTGACCCAGGAAGCTGTACTACCTCCCTCTGAGAGGAGATAACAGTATTGTCCAGAATAATCAGGCAAGATCTTGAAAAGATAAATCCCAAGGAGAGGATGAAAATGACAAGAACTGCATGCTTTCCTGTGCTACAACCACAGCTTCCATCTGTCTCACAGAAAAGACAAACACATGAATAAGAAAGGAAATAGCGAATAAAGCATGAAAATCTAAAGAAAACCAGATCACAAGGAGATTTCTTTTTTCATGATTTATTTTCAGGAAATACATAAATAAATACTATCATAAAAATTAGCCTGTTATTTGTACCAGGGTAGGGGGAGCGGCACTTAAACAAAAAGAGGAAAAATACTTTAAAAATTATTTAAAATATCTAAGAGCTTCAGTTTCCTGTTAAGATGATTCACTAGCCCAGGTGAAATGAGATCCAAGCAAGAATTTGATAACAAAGAACAAATAACAAATACTTCTTTGAAAGGGATTCTAGAGCTATCGTGAACTGGTCTGACCAGTGGTAGCCATGGTCAGGGATAAGTGGAGTTGGGGGAGGGGTGTTGTTGGAGGGTACTTGAGGCATCAGGCTGAAGGAAAATGTTTTCGTTTTCCTCCTAACGCTCCCCTGTCTTCCCCTAGGACAATCATTGGTTGTTCCTTCCTTGTTAAGGATGCTAAGCCCAGGCCCAGGATTCAGACTGCTGAATTTCTTGGGAGAGAGGATGAAAAAAATGTGTGGAGTTACTGGTCACATGTGGCATTCACTCCTCCACCTACTGTCTGTCAACTCCCAGGCTTGATGATGTATAATGGAGGAAGGTGTGCTTCCTCCCAGGGCTTTTATGCCTGAGAGAGTCTAGGGGGTGAAATTCTGACCAGGAAAGTTACCTGGCTACAAAGGGAAGCAACCAAAAGTTATTTCTTCATGTTTGGAACACATTCTCTCCCTTCTCCTTGGATTCACCTGAAAGGACTGACCTTCCCCAAACACTATACTGGCTGGAATAAATAATGTCTGCAAGAGGACTTAAGCTCAAATGACAATATAGGGAATGCACAAAAAAATACACCTACTTCAAAAGAAAGGCAACAAACTGAACAACATATATTATACGGCCAAAACTGATAGATGAGGAATTTAAAATAAGCATGAGTAATATACTGAAAGAAATAATAGAAGATAGTAGCAAAATAAAATGTGAAAAAGAAATCATTAAAAACAACAAAGAGGAATACGGTAAAAATGTTAGAAGTAAATAAAAATATACTAGTTTTTAGGTGAAGGGAAATGAGCATTTAAGTTATACATGCAGCATTAAATAAATAAATGAAATACAAGAAACAACAGATGAGATAGCAGTAAAGCTACAGTGTAAGAAGGATTTTGATATAATTTGGGTATTTGCCCCCTCCAAATCTCAAGTTGAAATATGATCCCCAATGTTGGAGGTGGGGCCTGCTAAGAGCTGTTTGGGTTGTGGGGGCAGATCACTCATGAAGGGCTTGGTGCCTTCCTGGTGGTGACTTCTCCCTCTATTAGTTCTCAGAAGAGCTTTGTTTAAGAGCCTGGCATCTCTCTTGCTCCCTCTCTCACCATGTGACATGATTTCTCCCACTTTGCCTTCTACCATAAATGGAAGCTTCTTGAGGCCTCATCAGAAACCAAGCAGATGCTGGTTCCATGCTAGTACAGCCTTCAGAACCATGAACCAAATAAACATTTTTCTTTATAAATTTCCCAGCCTCAGGTATTCCTTTATAGCAATGCAAAACAGACTGACACAGACTGTATAATTCAAAAGATAAGATTAAAGAACTGTCTTAGAAAACAGAAATGCTTCCAGAAAGCAGATAAGAAAAGCCAAATATAAATAGAAATGGAAGGATCAAATCTGGTCAACAGAAGAAGGAAGAATAAAAACAGTGAGCAAAAATATTTCAAGAAATCATGAAAACAAATTTTTAGAATTAAAGATTAAAGACATCAGACCCAAATTGAAAACACTCAAATCGTAAAAGAAACAAGTCCAGGAGGACATTGTAAACAGTGTGGGGAAGTGAGGATGGTAAGTGTCTTGATATAGCTTTTTTTTTTTGTATTTGAGGGAAAAAAGACCAAAAAAAGGAACAAGTGATTATTTCAACCAAAACTAAAAATCTACATTGTGATAATGGGATTTGGGGAAGTGGTACAGAGACCAAAAGAGTCTTGAGAAGGCAAGGTTAGGAAGCAGATAGAAATATTGAAAAGTCTAAGAAATGAATAGGAAAACATAAACACGAGTGCATGTTTTAAATTAACAGTGACCACTGTATGTTATATATGTAAAGAATGCACAACTTTTAAACTTACAGAAGAATATTTAAGCTTTACAGTGAAAAAGGAAACAAAGTTTAAGAGGGAAAAACAAAAGCACACTAAATAAAAAAAAAATAAGATGCCAGAAATAAATTCTAACAATTTGCTCATGCCTTCTTCTTGAGCTGGAAGATTTTCCAAAATTCAAAATTCAATTTATAAAGGTAAATTTTGAAAAAAATCAAGTTCAATCATTTTTGAATCTGTTGAAACTGTGAGAGACCCTGTGCATTCTTTCAGTTTCTTTCCATTTCCTCTTTTTGGTATGCAGAACAATAAAATACTGTAAAATCAAAATTTCTTTAAAATTTATCAAACGTATTGTCATCACTAGATCTCATTTTCCGCCAAGTTGACCTGAGCTACCTTTTATAACTTACTAAACTTTTGGGGATTATTATTAAGTTCTTCCCTGAAATCTTTCCTATTATCCTTTATGTCATAGCTTACTATATTAGGCACACTTGAAAGCTTTATTTTTCACTCAGCAAATATTCCATATTGACTGGTGTAATGCACTACCATTATGCTTCCTAAGGGTGAAGCAAAAAGCACAAAGGCAAAATTGTATTTCCATTTGTTGTTTTGACTATATTTTTTCTCAAATAAGTGAAAAATTAAGAAAAACAGAGTATAGCTGTGAACTAGCTCTATAATAAGTAGATCAAAGAATTGAACTATCACGATGAATTGAGAAAAAAGAATGTAGCCTTTGTGATCCCTAGTGAATTAAGCTGCTTCCAATTCATTTTTAAACCTGCACCTATTAAATGAAAATCTTTTCTTGCAGCAATAAAAAAGATGTGATCTTTGTTCAATGGGATTTGATAACCATAAAGGTGGGAAGATGGCAGCCCAACTCACATTACTTCAGCATACTTGTGTGAAATAATAGCTTCAACTGAGAGCTTACCTTGACAGTGAAGCGTTTTTTCTTTGGTGGATTCCAAACTGTGCCAGTTGAATGAATGAATGCACGCAAAGGGGTTAAGGATGTCACCAACACGTACGCTTTAAGAATCACAGATAGATCTTCGGCTCGAAAGATTGTTTCATGTGGAGCAAGGACTGTCGTTTCATTCCTAAAAAAATAAAACAACGTAGTTAGCGCTCCATAATGTAGGGTTGAGTATGTAATTTGCAAATTACCTTCAAGCTTTGTCAACTGCTTCTAGCCTTTGTAGGACGCCCACCTTCAGTGTGTGGATTTCCTTGAACAATTTCAATTGCTTATTAGCATCACCACCAGGTGGTGGAGAGGTACAGCTAGAATGAGTCAAACTGATAATAGTTCCCCAATCCGCCAGATTTAATCAAAGTATTTTTAAAAAGTAAAAAAGGTGGCTGGGCCCAGTGGTTTATGCCTATAATCCCAGCACTTTGGAAGGCCAAGACGGGCGGATCAGGAGTTCGAGACCAGCCTGGCCAACATAGTGAAACCCCATCGCTACTAAAAATACAAAAATTAGCCAGGCATGGTGGCAGGTGCCTGTAGTCTCAGCTACTTGAGAGGCTGAGGCAGGAGAATCACTTGAACCTGGGAGGCGGAGGTTGCAGTGAGCCGAGATCGCATCACTGTACTTCAGCTTGGGCAACAGAGTAAGACTTTGTCTCACAATAAGTAAATAAGTAAGTAAGTAAATAAATAAATAAATAAATAAATAAATAAAATAAAAAGATGGAAAGATAGTATGTAGAATAAAGTTGAATTTAAAAAATAAATATATAAATTAGTCACAGTACCCATGACCTCAGATGCACGGTACCATTGCAACAAAAGTGATATAAATTACAGTTCGAGTGAGACTTTCTAAAACCTTCTACCTCTGCCTACCTTTGCTCCATTTTTTCTTCTCTAGAAAAATGTGTTGTTTTTACACAGTGAACAGGTCACCAAGAATATGTGAAAATACTTTGCCCACTAGTTCAATCTTACCTAATGTCCCTACTCCCAGATAATGAGGAGTTAACTTAAGGGATTGAATGTTAAAACAAACAAACAAAAAAAGAAAACACTTCAGGCTACAAAGGAAAAGTAACACCAGTTTAATATTTTGTAATGAAACAAATATGCTTTCATCATAAATAATACTAAAATACATAATTATTTGCTTTTCTACATAATATTTCTAAATGTTAAATATCTAAGTTTGATCAATGAAAGGACTGTGCTATTTATTTTTTTATATATATATATATATATATTTTTTTTTTTTTTGGAGACAAGGTCTTGCTGTCACTCAGGCTGGAGTGAAGTGGTGTGATCACAGCTCACTGCAGCCTCCACTTCAAGGGCTCAATTGGTCCTCTTGCCTCAGCCTCCTGAGTAGCTGAGACTACAGGCATGCACCACCATGCCTGGCTAATTTTTTTTCTATTCTTTGTATAGATGGATTCTCGCTATGTTGCTCAGGCTGGTCTTAAACTCCTGGGCTTAAGTAATTCTCCTGCCTTGACCTCCCAAAGCACTGGGATTCCAGGCATGGACCACTGCACCTGACCTAGTTTTAACTTTAAAATTCTAGGTTGGCACAAGATGCATACGATTCTTCAATAAATACTATTAACTGTTTAAATAATACTTAATAATTATAAAATTAGATAAGGCAAACTTATTTGTGTCTTGGATAATTAAAACCTCTTAATTTTTCACTATAATTTATCTACATTATAAAATCCTTTCCCTGGAGGAAACTTGGATAACTTGATATACAGCAGATACTTTCTTAGATGCTAAGAGCCATTAAAAAAAATAATAGCAGAAAGAATGCATCCAGCCATATTCATAGTCTAAGGCAAAGTCATTTGAGTATAAAATGGAAGCTAAAATTTTATAGTTTTGCATTGTCAAGGTTTTCAATTCAATTTCCTTTAATGTAACTTACTAGATAAGAGTCCAATTTACCCAAATGTTTATTCTCTGGCAGGACAGGTTTGAATTAATCTAGGAGAAAGTCAATGATGGCATTCTTTATTTAAAAAGGAGAGCTGAAAATTTATGTAAGAGAAACTAATAATTCACACTTGTGAACTCCCCATATCTGTTCTGTGCTTTTCTCTTGTTAGCCGTCTCCTAAAATGCATGCTGGTTATAACAATTCACACTGATTAGCTTACAGCTGTTCATGTCTCCAGTCCTCTGGTTTCCACATACGTGGCTTCACTGTTTTTAAAAGGTGACTCGAAGTATTCGGCTTTAATTGTATTCCCTGATCCAGACACACAGAGGGACTCACTGGAAGTTGCAATTCTGAAAAGATTCAAGAGAGCAGAAGACAGTCATTTTATTGTTTCTTTTTGGAACTGCTTTGAAAATAGAGTATGCTGTGTTAAACTGCAGGGTACATGAGAAATATGCAACCATTTTTCTCCCCATTCTGAATCAAACTTGGCTCCACTAAGTATGAATGCATATGTAGAGAGGCCTTTGCTTGCCATATGTTCTCTTACTACAGAGGAGGAAAACAACTGGAATAATTAATTTCATTTTCTTGCTCAGAAGGGGAGGTAGATATAATGTCTCTAACTGTCCAACATCAAGCTGATCTATCCTACAAAGTTGAGGGATGCATTCTCAATGAGGGGGTGGTGGCTGTAAGAGCAGACTTTTGTTTGTGATGAGAATATTACATAGAAAACTTGAGCTGATTCCGACAATACAATGCTGATATACTAAAGTTTGTTATGCTTCGTGACCTTGGGAATCTCAACAACAGGGCTTTATTGTCTAATAAAATATTAATTATTGCGTTTTAAGGTATATAAAAATAAAGAACAATAATAATGCTTTACTTAAGACCACACATATTGACATGCTTAAAAATAAAGGTATTGCATATACATGATTACAAAAATCAAATATTACAGAAAGCAACCAAATGAGCAGAAAAAGCATCCTCCAGTCCACTTCTATCTAGAACTTCTTCCCACCAAAAACCAATGCTTACATATTAACTTTTAAAATCTGAATAAGTACATTGGGTCAGATGCATATATTTCTTCAATACAAAAGTTGATGTACAATACATCAACGAAATATCAAATACAAAATATCAATGTATCCACATGAACCTATATATGTACGTATTTCTGTTTGTTTTTTTAATTATCCCAAAGAGGTGTTATAATAATATATGTCTGGCTTATTTATACCTACTAACCCATCCTGGCATCCTTTCCATATCAGCATATTCATAGTTATTTCATACATACCTCTTAATAGCTTAGGGTGCTTCATTAAATAAATATACATTTGATTTAGCCATTCTCTATTGTTGTGTATTTAGATTATTTTTGTAATGTTTTTCTTTTGCTATTTCAAAAGCACTGCAATGAATACTGTTATACATCTATTTTGGTGTACTTTTACAAATTTGTCTAGTGGCAGATTCGTATTGGTATGTGCAATCGCCAGGTCAATGGCAAATGCCCTGCAAATTTGTTAGATGTGGCCAGATTGCCTCCCAAAATGGTTGCTCCAATTTCCACACTCTCCAACAGTATCTGGAAGTTGTTTTCCTAATCCCAGGTCACAGTGCTTTATTTTTTAATTATATAATTTATCTAGCTCTCAAAATAGAACAAAGCCTTTAAATTATGTTTCCCCTTTGTGCACATTTCATCAATACTAACATAGTCTAATTTAAAACACTTCACACTCTTAAGTAAAAGTCAGCAGAAGTCAAGCTGTTCAATGTATTCCCATATCTCATTATTTAGCACAGTGTGATCTTGCTCCAAAAAGGATAACTTATTTGTAAGTTTTCCCTTTTAATGAAGTTCTAATACATCATAATAAAGGAAATATTCAAATGGCTTTGGTTTTGGAGATGATAAATGAACAGCCATTAAGTTAATTTCTTTTCTTGAGAATCACAACTTTTAAAAAGTTGAAATGTTTACGTAAGCCTTTAAATTTGCAGTAAGAAAATACGTGTTCTTAATTAAAATTTTACTAAATAGAGTTATGTTTTCAGAGTATATTACTAGGACAAGTTTTGTGTCTCCAAAGAGCTGATTTGGAGGCTTCTTTTGTAAAGTATGAGAAAAAGTATAATTTACTCTGATTTCCCTTTTACTTTGCTGCCAAAAAGCACAGAATTGATTTCAAACTCAAGCACAGTTGACATTAAAGAAGCTAGACATATTAAGTTTTTCGCCAAGATAATATCTCAATGGTTTTGAGGAAGTTGTCAAAAAACATGTCAAAAGAATAAACAATTTTATGTCACTTTTTTCTGGTTTAGCTCAAGTGGAGCCATACATGACACTGAAGGGGTCCAATACAGGAATTGCCAAGACTATGTCAGATTTCCACATGAATCTCTGAAACTCTGATCGGATAATAGAAATGAATACTGAGCAAAATAACTTTACCTTTATTTCTATATTTATACATATATCAATACATTCTAGGCTTCCTATTATATTATTCCAGGCTTGTATGTTACTTTTTATTATTCTAATAGAAAAAAAAAACTCTGTAATTAGCTGTCCCCTCTAAAATTATTCTCATTTAACTTGATTATAGCCACAACTCAGATATAAACTTCATTCATATCTTTAAAAGCTGCAAATGCATTTTATGGAATTTCATAAATAATCGTGTAAACATTTTGGTGTCCTAGGCTATCATTTAACAAATAAAGGTATGCCTGGAGCAATATGTCTTGTATCTTTCATCTGGCATAGCCTTCAAGGGCTCTCTCAACAGTCCAGTCTAATCCATTTATTATTCCATTCCCCTTTTCCATGGCCCAACCAACACACTCAAAGAGCCTAGAAATCTCCTACAAACAATGCTCAAAAGACCTTCTGCTTTTGGAAAGGATTTGGGTGATGAGGCTGTATGACACAGTCTTCCAAACAGCCTAGTTCATTAACATATACTTGTTAAAAATATTAAAGTAACTTAATATGGAATACCTAGCATGACTCTTTAGGGCTTTCCTGCCCCATAATATGCAGACTGAATGGAAAGTAGATTAAAATGTGAAATATCATATGGTGAATAGTGCTGTACTTTTATTTATTGGCTACTCTTAGCTTATTTTAGAGAGCCATGAAGCCTGTAACTGTATAATCAGCAAAGTTTACGCAGAACAAAAGTGAACAATTTGTTAGGGATGCATGAAACGTGCTTTTCAATACCTTTTAATATCTGGTTGGGGAAAAAGTATTATGAAAATGATGATTAAACCAGAAACAGGAGACCTGGGCTTTCATTTTGGTTCTTGCCAACCAACAATTAATAGACTTGTGACATTGTTAGGAAGCCTTCTAAAATCCAGCACGTAAACCCCATGAGTCTTCTGAACTTCCCACATCACTGAACACTATAGTGACTAAAATAAGCACTAAAGTAAGTGCTCAGGAAATATTTGAAATACTTGTTCTAACAATGAACTTGTTTTGGGGGGTTAAGTCAATCTATGGCTTAACAAAATCATATTCCAATGAATTAAAAACATTTTATTTGATTATTTCTTTCCCTTCTATGTGGCATATGAGTATATACACCACAGTCAAATATTAAACACTGAAAAAACACTTATACTGACAAAGATTAGCTACCAAATGTATATTGCATTTGATTTAATGTTTTGCCTTACAGCTAATAATTAATAGGGAAGTAATAATAAAAGTATAATTATATTTCACAGATATTTGAATATTGTCTTGCATTTTCATATTAGAAAACTAGATTTAGCTAGCATTTTCTTATTTCAAAATTTTCAATAAAGATAAAGGCCTTACTTAATAGTTAGCAATTAGTTTTGAGATTAGAAGTGTAAATAAGTACCATTTATGAGTGCATTAATCATTCCTCCTGCCTGAGGGCATTGATAAGTCTTAGAACTTAGCCTACAGGTATAAAAGCTCTGCAAATATAACCTCAGAACTTTCACATATAGTAAATAGAAACTGATATGTGCACAAACTGAAGTGATAGCCAGGAAATCACTCTGTCAGTCAGGGCCCCAGAAGACAGCAGAGTCAAAGGAGTAACTGAAGAGACTATTAACCACGAGACAATGAAAGAAGGACTGCTAACAAACACATGGGTATAGTTCAGGAAAATCAACAAGGGGTAGAGGAGCTCCCCAGGGCCTACAAAATGGGAAGCTTTTACCACGCTTAGCCCAGGAAGGAGAAGTTTCCAGAACCAGGCAAAAGCATTGTTATAGGAAAGGCCATGAAGAAAGACTGTGGCTACAGGTAGAAGAACACAGCCACTTTCAAGCCAGGGTCCAGAGGGGAAGGAGCCAGGCAACAAATACTCCCAAATTATTTCCTCCTGTCCTCAATCTCTCGCTAGATGCCAGGGGACAAGGATGCCCTGTGGATGCAGTCTGTGGAGGACGGCTCCCTGGAGAAGGATGTAGAGTAAATCTGAGGGGCAAATAGAGAATATTCAGCACAAACTCTACACAGTACTTGGTAAATACAAGTTTTGGCCTTAGTCTTCTCAGTAGCCACATGTCCTAGAGAAACAAACAACTGTGTGTGTGTGTGTGTGTGTGTGTAAAAAGAAAAAAGGAGCAATATTAGCTTTGATTTCAAATAAGAGCATTCAGATATGGCAGCAAGGGATAGCATAGGTTGAGCCACATAAAATTGCCTTTTGTTAGGTAAAAAAAAAAAAAATTGTTGAATGTTGATCAAATATCAGCAATTTCATAATACTCAACCTAATTTTTTTTTCCTTCATCATGATGCCTACAGTGGGGAAGAAAGAGTGACTAAACATACTACTGTGAAAAAAAGTTACAGTGGCTAGAATGTCAGTGGGTAGAAATGGCAAAAGGGGGACCTTGAAATCATTCAGTGAGTGTTTGGCTCATGCTTTGAAAACAAGAGAAGCCTAGTCTAAGTTGTGCCAGTTGCTAGAAGAGAACAAAAATCTTCAGCTCTGAATCTGTTTTCTCTTTGTATGATGCTGAAAAAGTCTAGCAGCAAGTAGACTAAAAGAATAAGTAGATGGTGTCTAAGTTCCTTTGCAATCTTCAATCTCTGTGATCCTAGATACAAAGTTATGATTTAAATATGTGCTATAAATGGCCTAATGGAGAAGATAAGTGGCCAGGGTCTCAGCACCAGAGCTGAAATGCAGTCCCTCTGTGAATTTGTCATGTTCTGGTAATTGTGAGTGCTCCACAGGGTCAACCAGCTCCAGTTTCATTTGAGTGAGACACACTAAGTCTTGTGGGAAGAGGCTGTAGCTGAAGAAGCTCCTATCCCCTAACTAGT